GATGTTGGCAAGGATGTGGAAAAAAGGGAACTCTTTTTTGTTGTTGTTGAGACGGAGCCTCACTCTGTTGCCCAGGCTGGAGTGCAGTGGCGCAACCTCGGCTCACTGCAACCTCCACCTCCCAGGTTCAAGATTCTCTTGTCTCAGCCTTCCAAGTAGCTGGGACTACAGATGCCCACCACCACTCCCAGCGAATTTTTTGTATTTTTAGTAGACACAAGGTTTCACTATTTTGGCCAGGCGGGTCTCAAACTCCTGACCTTAAGTGAGCCACCTGCCTCGGCCTCTCAAAGTGCTGGGATTACAGGCATGAGCCACCTCACCCAGCCGAAAAGGTAACTCTTATACACTGTCAGGGAACTGTAAATTAGTACAACCTCTATGCAAGACAATACAACAATTTCTCAAAGAACTACAATAGAACTAACATGCACTCCAGCAATACCACTACCTAGTATCTACCCAAAGGAAGAGCAATCATTACATCAAAAAGGTACCTGCACCGGTGCGTTTCCCATAGCACTATTCACAAAGCAAAGATATTGAATCAACCTAAGCACCCATCAACAGATGATTGGATAAAGAGAATGTGGCACATATACACCGTGGAATACTACTGGGTCATAAAAAAGAATGAAATCATGTCTTTTGCAGCTACACGGATGGAACTGGAGGCCATTAAGTAAAACAAGTCAGACACAGAAAGACAAATACTGCACATTCTCACTTCTAAGAGGGAGCTACATAATATGTACACATGGGTGCAGAGTGTGGAATGGTAGACAACTGCAACTCCGAAGAGTGAGAGGGTGGGGGTAGATGCACAGAGACGACTGCATGAGTACAATGTGTGTTGTTTATGTGAATGGATACCCTGAAAGCCCTGACTTCACCACTACACAATCTATGCATGTAATAAAATTACATTCGCACCCATAAATTTATACACATTAAATAAATAAACATTATTTTAAAATCCTGGAGAAATTCAGACCAGACCCAGAAGACCATGCTATGTTGCCGCCACCTGGTGGTAATATACCTGCATAGAGCAGTGCCTCCCCAAATTCCCAAATTCCCAAATCCCCTGCTTCTGGAGAGCATCAAAGATAAAGAAAAGATGTACTTACACTACTGAACTGAACACTTACAAATGGTTAAGATGATACATTGTTATGTGCTTTAACCATGATTAAAACACATAGATGGCCGGGTGAGGTAACTCACGCCTGTAATCTCAGCATTCTGGGAGGCCAAGGCGGGTGAATCACTTGAGGTCGGGGTCAAAACCAGCCTAGTCAACATTGCAAAACCCCGTCTCTACTAAAAACACAAAATTAGCTGGGCATGGTGGCACATGCCTGAAATCTCAGCTACTTAGGAGGCTGAGACAGGAGAATCTCTTGAACCTGAGAGGTGGAGATTACAGTGAGCTAAGATCCCACCATTGCACTCCAGCCTGGGCAACAAGAGGGAAACTCCGTCTCTACCAAAAAAAAAAAAAAAAAAAAAAAGCGTATATAAAAGTGTAAAATAAATAAAAGTATAAAATAGGTCGGGCATAGTGGCTCACACCTGTAATCCCAACACTTTGGGAGGCTGAGGCAGGCGGATTGCTTGAGCCCAGGAGCTCAAAAACAGCTTGGGCAACATGCTGAAACCACATCCCTACAACAACAAAAACAACCAACCAAACAAAAAACACTGTAAAGCCCTATCTCTAAAAAAAAAAAAAAAATTAGCTAGGTCGTGGTGGTGTGTACCGGTAGACCCAGCTACTCGAGAGGCTATGGTGGGAGGATTGAGTGAGCCCCGGTAGGTCGAGGCTGCAGTGAGTCGTGATCAAGCCACTGCACTCCATGTTCCATCTGATTTCCACTCTATGCTGATTCCAGTGGGCTACAGAATACATGTGGCCAACCCACCCTGTGTATCCCAACAACAATGTACAATTGGACCCTGGCATTAACCTCTTCTAACATTTCACCCTAACTAACGTTGCCCAGAGTGGAGCGCAGTGGTATGATCTCAGCTCACTGCAACCTCCGCCACCTGGGTTCAAGCAATTCTTCTGCCTCAGCCTCCTGAGTGACTGAGACTACAGGCGCCCACCACCACACCTGGCTAATTTTTTTTTTTTTTTTTTTTTAGTAGAGATCGGTTTCGCCATGTTGGCCAGGCTAGTCTTGAACTCCTGACTTCAGGTAATCCGTTCACGTTGGCCTCACAAAATGCTGGGATTACAGGTGTGAGTCACCACACCCAGTCTGATTATGTATTTTTTTTTTTTTTTGAGATGGAGTTTTCACTCTTGTTGCCCAGGCTGGAATCTAATGGCACGATCTCAACTCACTGCAACCTCCATCTCCTGGGTTCAAGTGATTCTCCTGCCTCAGACTCCCACGTAGCTGGGATTACAGACGCCTGCCACCATGCCCGGCTAATTTTTGTATTTTTAGTAGAGACACGGTTTTACCATATTGGCCAGGCTGGTCTTGAACTCCTGGCCTCATGATCCGCCCGCCTTGGCCTCCCAAAGTGCTGGGATTACAGGCATGAGCCACCACGCCCAGCCTTAAGTCTTTTCTTACTAACAAAATTTGTATATTGATGGGGTAGCAATGTGTTCCCTCAATAATATTACAATACAACTTATAAACTTACATTTCCCAGCCTCCTTTAAAGATAAGTCTAAGGAAAAGTGGTTGGGAAGGACTTCTAGAAAGACTCCTCTTCAAAAAGGGATAGACAATGGTTTGCGAAAGTCATTTTTTTCTTTTTTCTATTTTTGTTTCATTTCTCTTTTCACTGTGTTTTCTAGTTTATTTTTAAAATTTGTATTTACCCTTTCTTCTTCCTACTTTCTGCTAGTTGGAATGGAATGTGAATGTGATGGCTGGAATTCCAGAAGCCATCTTGGACTATGAGGTGACCTTTTTTTTTTTTTTTTTTTTTTTTGAGTTGGAGTTTCGCTCTTGTTACCCAGGCTGGAGTGCAATGGCGCGATCTCAGCTCACTGCAACCTCCGCCTCCAGGGTTCAGGCAATTCTCCTGCCTCAGCCTCCTGAGTAGCTGGGATTACAGGCATGCGCCACCATGCCCAGCTAATTTTTTGTATTTTTAGTAGAGACGGGGTTTCACCATTTTGACCAGGATGGTCTCGATCTCTTGACCTGGTGATCCACCCGCCTCGACCTCCCAAAGTGCTGGGATTACAGGCGTGAGCCACCGCGCCCGGCTGAGGTGACCTTAAGGTTGAAGATTAATTGGAGGACAGTGGAGCAGAAAGATGGAGGCCTGATGAACTTGAAGTCACCATTTTAGCCCTGGTTTACCCATCTCTGAAATTATTTAATCTGACAGAGCAATAAATTTGTTTTGTCCCAGCTACAATTGTTTTAGGACTTGGCTATGTCACAGATCTAAAACCCACTTGATTTACTCCTGCAATCAAAATATTACATTGACATAGAAAAGACAACAAATAAATCAGTGGAATAAAACAGAAAATCCAGAAACAAATTCAACTGTTTCTGCGGACCTGAGATATGAAAGTTTACAATTCAAGTCAGTTGGAGAATGTTTTATTTACTAAATATAACTGCTGACATGCTGGCTGTTTGTCAGGAATAAAACAAAACTAAATCCTTCCTCACATCACAGATAAGATTAGTTCTAGGTGGATAAGGGATCTAAAGGCAAAATGTAAAGTAATTAAATAAACAAAAATTGGAAGAATATTTGCATAAACTTAGGTCGAGGAGACCGTATTAAGCAAAGCAGGAAACCTAAAACCCATAAAGGAAAAGAATTGTACAATGTTGTGTGGTAGATAAAAACCAGGAAGTCAAAAGATAGGCTGGGAAAAATACATATGTAACACATTTGTATTTATTTGATATTTATTTGTATTTATTGATAGTAAATATTTGAGGCTTAAGGGTGTGAACCCTGAAAGAGCCAATCCTTCATGATGGATCCTCTGTGCAAATATGAATCCCTTAAGGTGGGTTCCTAAAATTGGTTTCTGTTTTTTGAGACAGGATATTGCTCTGTCGCCCAGGCTGGAGTGCAGAGAGGTGATTTTGACTCACTGAAGCCTCGACCTCCCAAACTCAAGCGATCCTCCTGCCTCAGCCCCGGACTAGCTGGGATCACAGGCATCTGCCACCGTGGCTGGCTAATTTTTTTGTAGAGAAGGGGTTTCGCCATGTTGCCCAGACTGATTTTGAACTCCTGGGCTCAAGTCATCCGCCCACCTCGGCCTCCCAAAAGTGCTGAGATTACAGGCGTGAGCCAACGCGCCAGGTCTGGGATGGATATTTTTAAGGCTCCTGATACATATTGCTAAACTCTTCTCTAGAAACGCTCTACCAGTCTACCATTCCACCATCAGAGTATGACGCCTACGGTTGAGATTTTTAGCTCAAATAATTATGATGTATTTCAAGGGGAAATCTTGAAATATTTAACTCTTCTCATCTTAAACTCTCTTTTAGTGACCTACCTTTACTCCCAAGCCTCGGTGGGGAATTCCCAGTCACCCACTGGGAATCTCTACCTGGAAATCCCAGAGGCACTCAAACGTAACGTGTCCAAAACTAAATTATTTCTGTCACCTTCCCACCTCATATCCCCCCCCAAATGCTCCAGATTCAGAAAAAATACCCAGCACTGTGGCTGGCACCACGGTCAGATTCCCTACTGAAGCCATTCTTCTCGGATGAACCACGGGCACAACAGGCAGGGATGACAAGGGCAACGGAGAAGGGGGTACAGTAAGTTTGAGACAGTCGAACGCACGCCAGCGCACAACGGAACAAGGAAAAAGAGTGACGAACATAAGCCACTGAGCTTCACCGAGCAGCCAATGCCCAGAAAACAGGTATCTGCCATTAGCACACAGACTCAGTTTCCTTACAAGTAACCCAAGCGCTTCGCGGGTCACACCCGACCTTCTCGCCCAGCGAGAAAGAACTGCGCAGCCGCCGGCGGGCTGGCCGCTAGGCGCGTGCGTAGAATCACCTACACGCCCGCTAGTGCGCACGCGCCCTGGGCCGCGCGTGCGTGCGTGGGGTCCGGGAGGATGAGCCCCGGAAAGCAAGGGAAAGGGGTGGGGTTGGAGCAGGGTCTCGCGCATGCGTGCGCTGCACGAACCATTTGGCGGGTTTTTCCTGGCCACTCTTGTCTGTTACCGTCACTGAGAAGCTCTGGCGTAGCTTTTAGGAAGCGGGACGTTCTCCCCAGGAAAGCGTCCTCTTGAGATTTCTGCTCCCTCCAGGGCGTTTGGGGGCCACACCTTCATTATTTTAAAAAGAGTATTTATCTGTGGCCAACGGCCGGGGCCTTCTGACAGTGTGAGGTCTTGCTTGGGCTAGTTGATCACCTCCAGCCACGGTCCGCGGAGAGTGGAAGGATAAGAAGCCGAGGGTTTCTTGGGCGCAGGTCGGAGCTGGGTAGACCCACTTCCCGGCCCCCGGCTTGGGCGACCATGTCCGTGTCGCCCAAGCAGCTGGCGGAGGAGCTGCAGATCTTCGGCCTAGACTGCGAGGAGGCTCTGATTGAGAAATGTGAGTCCCGCGCCCTAGCGGTGCTCCACGCTCTCGCCCGGGTTCCTCGGCGCGCAAAACCGAAAGGGTAGCGGTTCCAGTTTCCACCTTCCCTTGAGCTGAGTTCTCGGTGGCTGTGAGATGAAGAATCAAACTGAGTTTTGAGATTTAGGATGTGGGGACTTTGAAATGCCCACTGGGTACCAATTGAATGCCAAATGAAAAATAAGAATATGCAGCACGATTTTAAACCAACTCGAAGTTCCCGAAAGGTGGAATTGGCATGTGCTAGATCGAAACGAGGCTCGGGTGGCACCTGAGTTTGGAAATTGTTGACACCCTGGTAAAGAAGCAAGAGGTGTGGGGGTTTTGATATGCAGCTTTTTATTCTTGGCTCCTCCCTTTTCAGCCTACACCTTAAACCCCTGCTGATCCATCAGTTCTCTCATCAGAGCTGTTGGTGGTATGTACAAATATGAATCCCTTGAGGTGGGTTCCTAAAATTGAATTTGAGCTTTGGAAGGAGCTTTAGGGAGCTTGTTGGCTCCCTCTGTTTACAGATGGAGAAACAGACAAGGAAAGCTAATTGCCTGAGTTGTCTGTGAAGCCAGGTGTCCTGCCGCAGAGTGCAGTGCTCCATTATAGGAGTACTTCATGTTGGTCAAGCTGTAGAGCAGTGTAAGGAGTTATTTGAAGCAAAGCTTAGGAGATGTGGAAGTTCTAGAATCGGTATAAATGTGCACCTGCCTTAACCACTCAACACTTTGAACTTCTTATATATAAAAAGAGAATGCAAGCATGTTAGTTTATGGTGAGAAATTCCTTTCAGAAACCAGAATACTTCAAGTCTTTATGCCCAGGGCCCTCTTTTTTTTTTTTTTTTTTTTTTTTTGAGACAGAGTCTTGCTTTATCTCCCAGGCTGGAATGGAGTGCAGTGGCACGATCTCAGCTCACTGCAGCCTCCACCTCTGGGGTTCAAGCAACTCTCCTGCCTCAGCCTCCCAAGTAGCCGGGATTACAGGCACCTGACACCAGGCCCGGCTAATTTTTTGTTGTTGTTGTTTTTGTTGGCCAAGGCTGGTCTTGAATTCCTGACCTCAAGTGATCCAACCACTTCAGCCTCCCAAAGTACTGGGATTACAGGCATGAGCCGCTGCCTGGCCCTTCACTTTTTAAAAGTAAGCTTAAGTGGAAAACCTCTTATTGTGAGAAATTTACATAGTAAGCATTAAATCAACACAAGAGTAATTAGTTATGTGAACCAAATTTGTAAAGGCTTCAGGCCAAGATGCCAGTTGCTTCCATCTCACGTAGGGCTAAACTGGCGTGGCTTTGTAATTGTGGGCTTTGGATCATCAGTAGCCTCAATGGCACCTTAATGTTGCCTGACGGTCAACTGTATTTCCCTGGTCTCTCTTTTTTTTTTTTTTTTAATTTTTGACATGGAGTCTCGCTCTGTTGCCAAGCTGGAGAGTAGTCGGTGGCATGATCTCAGCTCACTGCAATCTCTGCCTCCTGGCTTTAAGCGATTCCTTTGCCTCAGTCTCCTGGGTAGCTGGGACTACAGGCGTGCACCACCAAGCCTGGCTAATTTTTTGTATTTTTAGTAGAGACAGGGTTTCACCATGTTGGCCAGGATGATCTTGATCTCCTGACCTCATGATCCACCTGCTGCAGCCTCCCAAAGTGCTGGGATTACAGGCGTGAGCCACCGCGCCTGGCCCTTTTTTTTTTCTTTTTTGAGATGTAGTCTCCCTCTGTCACCAAGGGTAGGGTACAATGGTGTGATCTTGGCTCACTACAGCCTCTACTTCCCAGGTTCCAGCGATTCTCCTGCCACAGCTTCCTAGGTAGCTAAGATTACAGGTCCACGTCACCACACTCGGCTCCTTTTTGTATTTTTAGTAGAGAGATGGTGTTTCACCATGTTGGCCAAACTGATCTTGAACTCCTGACCTCACGTGATCCATCCACCCTGGCCTACCAAAGTACTGGGATTACAGGCATGAGCCACCATGCCCAGCCCCTTGTCTCTTCACTCTGAGTCTTCCAGATTACTATTTTCCACCTTCTCCTCTTTTAACATCCTTCTGTCCCACCCTCACTCTCAGCTGACAAACTTCTATTTTTTGCTGAAAAAAAAAAAAAAAAATAGAAGCATTAGAAAACTTCTGTCAGCCACCACCATTACGTCTCACTGACCCATATTTGTGGCATATACCTAGCCTTCTTTCCTATTACAATGAATAAACTTCCATATTCCTAGCAAAATCCAAGCCCTCCACTTGAGTGCTAAACCCCATTCCTTCTCACCTAATTAAGGACATCACTGGTAATTCTCCTCTTACATATTTTCTATTTTTCTCTTTACAATATTTTTTTCCTACTAGTATAGAAATATGCTTCCAATCCTGCCTTTAAAATACTCTGTTGACCCTACTTCCCACTCCCAGTTCTCTCCTTCCCAATTACAACAGACCTCAAAAGGGTCTTGCCATCTTTTTTTTTACTTGAAGTTCTGGGGTACATGTGCAGAACATGCAGGTTTGTTACATAGGTATACACGTGCCATGGTGGTCTGCTGCACCTATCAACCTGTCATCTACATTAGGTATTTCTCCTAATGCTATCCCTCCCTTAGCCCTCCAACTCCCTGCCATCCCTCCCCTATCCCCCACCCACTGACAGGCCCAGGTGTGTGATGTTCCTTTTCTTGTGTCCATGTGTTTTCATTGTTCAACACCCAGTTATAAGTGAGAACATGTGGTGTTTGGTTTTCTGTTCTTGTGTTTTCTCATTCAGTTTGCTGAGAATGATGGTTTCCAGTTTCATCCATGTCCCTGCAAAGGACATGAACTCATCCTTTTTTATGGCTGCATAGTATTCCATGGTGTATATGTTCCATATTTTCTTTATCCAGCCTATCATTGATGAGCATTTGGGTTGGTTCCAAGTCTTTGCTATTGTGAACAGTGCCGTAGTAAACATAGGTGTGCATGTATCTTTTAATAGGATGATTTGCAATCCTTTGGGTATATACCCAGTAATGGGATTGCTGGGTCAAATGGTATTTCTAGATCCAGATCCTTGAGGAATTGCCACACTGTCGTCCACAATGGTTGAACTAATTTACACTCCCACCAACAGTGTAAAAGTGTTCCTATTTTTCTACATCCTCTTCAGCATCTGTTGTCTCCTAGTTTTTTAATGACTGCCATTCTAACTGGCGTGAGATGGTATTTCAATGTGGTTTTGATTTGCATTTCTCTAATGACCAGTGATGATGAGCTTTTTTTTCATATGTTTGTTGGCTGCATAAATGTCTTACTTTGAGAAGTGTCTGTTCATATACTTCACCCAAAAATATGGAACGCTTCACAAGTTTGCTTGTCATCCTTGCAGAGGGGCCATACTAATCTTCTCTGTATTGTTCCACTTTTAGTATATGTACTGCAGAAGCGAGCACGGGTCTTGCCATCTTTAAATGTTTCCTCCTTAAATCCATTTCAGTAAGTTCTTTTGTTGCCACCACTTCTCTATTCCAGGTTACCAATCACCTTCACCTTGCTAAAAACTGGTGATGAATTCTCAGTCCTCGTCTTGAATTAGCAGCGGCACTTGACTGTTTGTCATTTTTTCTTTTTTTAAACACATTTTTCTTTTACCATCTTAGACGCTACTCGTTTTTCGTTTTCTTTTTTTCTGAGACAGGGTCTTGCTCTGTTGCCCAGGCTGGAGTGTAACGGTCAAATCACAGCTCACTGCAGCCTCAACCTTCTTGGCTCAAGCATCTTTCCACCTCAGCTCCCAAGTAGTTGGAACTACAGGCACGTGCCACCAAGCCCAGCTAATTTTTGTATTTTTTGTAGAAACAGGGTTTCATCATGTTGCCCAAGCTGGTCTCGAATTCCTGGGCTCAAACAATCTGCCCACCTCAACCTCCCAAAGTATTGGGATTATAGGCGTGAGGCACTGCACCTGGCTTACTCCTAGTTTTTCTTCAGCTTTGCTTGTGTCACCACTTCTCAGGCTTTGCAGATTCGTCCTCAGAGGCCCTAAGGCACCCCAAGACTGAAGTCTGGGATCTTTTCTCCCTTCTAGATACACTCACTCCCTTGTTGATCTCACCTGGGGTCTCATAGCTTTATATCCCAAGTATTTACTGACGGTTCCCAAATTTATATCTTAGCCTGGACCTCTTGCCCGAGCTTCAGGCTGGTCTTTTCAACAACCTACTGTCTCCAGTTGTATGTCTAAATGGCATCTCAAATTCTGCATGTCTAAAACTAAGCTCTTATCTCCTCTCTCTCCCCAGAATAGTTCCTCCTGCTCTTTTCCCCATCTCAGATAATAGGGACACCACTCTTGCTATTGTACAGGCTAAAAATATCAGCATCATCCTTGACTTCTTTTTTTCAGTCCTTACCTTCAGTTAGCAGATCCCACTGGCTTTACTTTCAGTTTGTAAAGTCCTATCCAGAGTTCAACCACTTCTCGCCATCTCCACTGCCGCCATCTTGGTCAAGCCACCATCATCTCTTACCTGGGCTTTGCCATGATTCTCTTAATTGGTCCCCCTGATTTTGCCCTCATCCCCATCTGTCTCCCCCCAGTAGTAAGCTTTGTGAGGACAAGGATGCTTCTGTCTTGTTTCTCATTAGCCCAAAACAATGCCTGGCACTAATAGATTCTGCATAAACATTGATTGAGTAAACAGGATTATTTATGCTTTTTGAGGTGAAAGCTGCAATAAATTAACTGAGTTTTTACTTGTCCAATTTTCCTTCCTACAGTGGTAGAGCTTTGTGTTCAGTATGGACAGAATGAGGAGGGAATGGTAAGTGAGCTTATAGCCTTCTGCACCAGCACACATAAAGATGGCCTTACCTCAGAGATCCTGAACTCTTTTGAGCATGAGGTAAGAACAAAATGAAAGCAAACTAATAATGTGATTCTCCATTTCTGCTCTACAGGGGAGGCATTGTGATATGTTGGGAAGACAGTGGGATTTTGAGTCCGACCTGGATTCCAGGCCCACTATGAGCTTGGACCAACTTCTTAGTTTCCCTGAGCCTCAGTTTCCTCTTCTGTCATTGGGTCTAATAATCTGTATTTTTTATGATTGTTAAAAGAATTAAATGAGAATGGGCTGGGCATGTTGGCTCACACCTGTAATCCCAGCACTTTCGGAGGCTGAGGCGAGTGGATCACCTGAGGTCAGGAGTTCGAGGCCAGCCTGGCCAACATGGTGGAACTATGTTGACTAAAAATACAAAAAATTAGCCGGTCATGGTGGCACACGCCTGTAGTTGCAGCTACTCGGGAGGCTGAGGCAGGAGAATCACTTGAACCCAAGAGGCAGAGGTGGCAGTGAGCTGAAATTACACCACTGCACTCCAGAGCCTGGGCAACAGAGCAAGACTCCATCTCAAGAAAAAAAATAATACAAGAATTAAATGAGAATGGACATAAAGCACTTAAAACTATGCCCAGCAGGTGATAAGTCTTCACCAAATAATTGGTATTATTAGGATTGTTATGTGTTACAGACAGTCATGGGATATCTTGTTTTTAGTCTGTATATATCTTAATTCTTTGAGGAACGTTATATCTTTGATTATATTTTGAAGACCTTTTATTATCTCAAGGCTTTGGAAAATGCTTCCGCTACTATTTGACTATGAAGTAATGTATTCACTATCTTTTCTTTTTCAGTTTCTGAGCAAAAGATTGTCCAAAGCCCGGCATAGTGCCTACAAGGACAGTGGCCATGCGGGAGCTAGAGACATTGTTTCCATTCAAGAGCTGTATCCTTTCTGTGGAAGCTCTTTGCATCAAGCTACATGTTGTATTTTATAATTTGTCTATAGTTGCATATGTAATTTAAAAACAAATAATAAGGCCAGGCGTGGTGGCTGATGCCTGTAATCCCAGCACTTTGTGAGGCTGAGGCAAGCAGATCACCTGAGCCCAGGAATTCATGACCAGCCTGGGCAACACAGTGAAACCCCATCTCTACCAAAAGTATACATTTTTTTCTTCTTTTTTTTTTTTTGAGATGGAGTTTTGCTCCTTTTACCCAGGCTTGAGTACAGTGGCGTGACCTCGACTCACTGCAGCCTCCACCTTTCAACTTGAAGTGATTCTCTTGCCTCAGCCACCAGAGTAGCTGGGATTACAGGTTTGTGCCGTCATGCCCAGGTAATTTTGACTTTTTGTTGTTGTTGTTGTTAAGTAGAGACAGGGTTTCACCGTGTTGGACAGGCTGGTCTCAAACTCCTGACCTCAGGTGATCTGCCCGCCTCAGCCTCACAAAGTGCTGGGATTACAGGCATGAGCCACTGTGCCCGGCCAAAGCACAAATTTAAAAAAAAGATTAGTTGGGCGTGGTGGTACACACCTGTAGACCCACCTAGTTGGGAGGCTGAGGTGGGAGAATCGCTTGAACCCAGGAGACAGAAGTTGCAGTGAGTCAAGATTGCACCACTGCACTTTAGCCTGGGTGACAGAGGAAACCCCATCTCAAAAAATAATAATATTAACAATAATTGTAAAACTCACCTAATATTGAGATTTCTTATAACAATCAGCTGTTGCCTTATATGAGGGTTTATTATGGTTTTTCTTAACCAGTGTTCTTAGAATTGAAGTGGAAGAAGAAGAGGAAATCCTCTTGAACTCGTATACCACACCCTCAAAGGTAAGTAAACAGTGTTTTACAAGTAGCATTTTAAAATAGGTTATCACAACATTTGAAGATCTGAGGGAAAAAAAATCAACCACTCTCATGCATTTCCTACTATATTTCCTCTTATATAGCTTCTTTTCTGATCATATATCTAAATGTTTTACGTAACGGCAGTACTTATAAACATATAGCTATCCTGCTTTTCTCAGCACACCATGAAACATTTCTGTAACTGTAATTACTGCATAATTTCCCTTTTTAAATAGTTGCATAGTTTTATTCTATGATTGAATAATTCAGTTATGTGTCAGATCCCAGTGTGAAAGCCCAAGTAGGGTGGTGAAAAAGCATTGCCTTCAAAGTCTGAGTCAGAAGCCCTAGGTGGCCTTGAGTGAGTTGTTTTATCTCTGAGCCACTGTTTCCTTATTCATAATATCAGGATTCATTCATTCAGTTATCCAGCAACAACTAGGTACTGCACTGGACACTGGGTAAACAATGGGAAATGAAACAGACGTGGATGGGCTCTGCCCTCAGGAAGCTGACAGCCAGTGCACAATATTCCCCAGCTTGGAGGACTTGAAGAGGAAGTGACTAGTTAAAGCACCAGGCCCTATGCAATATATTCAGTAGTAGTAATTATTCTTTATACTAACTAAATAAATTTCTAGAAATTCATGAACATGGAGTGAGTCAAAGTAAATTACATCATAAGAAAGAAGGTAAGGGCTGGGTGCAGTGGCTCATGCCTGTAGTCCCAGCACTCTGTGAGACCAAGGCAGAAGGATTTTGAGCCCAAGAGTTTAAGAGTGAGACCTCACCTCTATAAAAATAATTTTTTTTTTAAAGTTGGGTATGGTGGTGCACACCTGTAGGTCCCAACTACTTGGGAAGCTGAGGTGGCAAGATCACTTGAGCCCAAGAGGTTGAGACTTCCATGAGCAGAGATCATGCCACTGCTCTACAGCCTGGGTGACAAAATGAGACAGTGTCTCAAGAAGAAAGAAGGCAAATAGTTTAGATATGCCTGTGGAGAGCAAGAAAGCCAAAAATGTGCCTTATGAAGTTACTAACACAAAACCAGGTACATATAATGTTAAAATAAATAATTAGGTGTTTGTTAGAGTTTCTTCAGATTGGAGAGACTAATTCATTTGATTTTCCCCATAAAGTAGTTTTCTGAGTCCATATCCCAGTGAAGGACACCTCCATTCTTCCATTGATTCAGGCCAAGAGCCTTGGAAACCTCCTTGAATCCTTATTCTCTCACACCCCACATCCAGCATATTCCTGTCATCCCTCTCCGGGATCTGGCCACCTCTTGCCACTTCCACAGCCACCACCAGGTCCACTGCTACCACCAGGTTCACAGCATCATTGTCTCCTTCTGAATGATTGGGACAGCCTCCTACCTAGCCCTTGGCTTCTTTCTTTCATGTCTACCTCTAACCGACTCTACCCAGAAGCCAGAGTGCTCTTTTCCAGCGAAAGGTCAGGTTTTCTTGCTCACATTTCTCCCACTGGCTTTCCATCTTTACTCCTAATACCCAAAGTTTGAACCAGCATGTGTGAACTTCTGTAGGAGCTGGCCCCCTCCTCCCTCTGTCCTCTTTCCAGACTCTCCCTTGCTCTCTGCTTCTCCCATGCCAAATGTATGTCCACTTCCTATGTCTCCTTGTTAGAGGGAACAAGCCTGCCTAAAAGAACAAACACCTTCCTCTATTTTATTTTCTTCCTTTATTTTTATCCATGGGACTTATTACCACCAAACATGTGTATACTTACTTACTTTTTTTTTTTTTTTTTTTTTTTTTTTGAGATGGAGTCTTGCTCTGTCACCCAGGCTGGAGTGCAGTGGCGCAATCTCGGCTCACTGCAACCTCTGCCTCCTGAAATTCAAGCGATTCCTGTCTCAGCCTTCTGAGTAGCTGGGATTACAGGCGCATGCCACCATGCCCGGTTAATTTTTGTATTTTTAGTAGAGACAGTGTTTCACCATGTTGGTCAGGCTGGTCTCAATCTCTTGACCTCATGATCCGCCTGTCTAGGCCCCCCAAAGTGCTGGGATTATAGGCATGAGCCACTGCACTTGGCCTATACTGGCTTTTATGTTTTAGTCTGACTTCCCTCCATTAGAATGGAATCTCCTTGAGAACGGAGACTTTGTTTTTACTTGCTGCTGTTTTCCCAGCACCCTGGCACGTTAATAGTTGTTGAAAGACCTCTGAATAAGGGAGTATGGTTGGCTCTCTAGGTAGGATCTGAATTGCAATACCAACGGGACCACCGCAGTTTTATTGGGTTGACAGCTTCACAGATCTAGAATTTCATCTAATTTGTCTATGTATTCAGAATTGATCATATTCTTAGAGTCTGACTCATGGTAACCCAGCTCTCAGTAGACTGATGCATAAGCCAGGTGCAAAAGTAGATACCCTTCCAATGACTGCAATCCCATATTTAGGATGCCCCATTCTTGCTATGGAAGTACTTGGGAGACTAAATTGTGAGTCGAAATTTGTTACTGTGAGGCTGGGTACAGTGGCTCATGCCTGTAATCTCAGCACTTTGGGAGGCCGAGGCGGGTGGATCACTTGAGGTCAGGAATTCGAGACCAGCCTGGCCAACGTGGTGAGACCCCATCTCTACTCAAAATAAAAAATTAGCTGGGCATGGTGGTAGGTGCCTATAATCCCAGCTACTTGAGAGTCTAAGCCAGGAGAACCACTTGAATCCAGGAGGCAGAGGTTGCAGCGAGCCAAGATCATGCCACTGCAGGACTCCATCTCAAAAAAAAAAAAAAAAAAAAAGTTTGTGACTGTGAATTCCACACTAAATGAGTTGGATTGAAAGGTTGAGCAAACAATATATGTCTGGCCTAGAGATATGTAAAATACTTAGAACAGTACCCATCATATGGAAATTGTTCAGTCACTGTTGGGGCATGCATCAATGGCAGCATGATAAAATAGTCAAAGTGTGAATATTGGCCTTTCCACGCAAACAGTGCCAGGCTGAGGTTGCCTGACCCTTGTCAGGTCTTGGGAACAGGTGTCCCTCTGCTATAGAGGTAATTACGATATGTCAGTGATTTTAGCTTACCACTATTAAGCCTTTCACCTGTGCAGCTGACAACTGTTCTTTTGCCTCCATGTTCACCATAAATCTGCTTATGATTTGGCTGCCATGTGCCCTAACAGGAGAGAATGTGTTAGCATGAGGACTTGGCGTTCCCATACGCTTGGCAATTATATTTCTAGTAAATTAATAAACTGCCATCCTTGGTTATAATTTGATTTTCTCTGTGGGTATGAGAATGTGCTTACCCTCAGATATAAAAATAAGGTATCATTGGTGACTACATTTCTCACTAGAAATTATGAAACATGCCAGGCACGGTAGCTTGTGCCTGCAATCCCAGCACTTTGAGAGGCCAAGATGGGCGGATCACCTGAGGTCAGGAGTTTGAGACCAGCCTGGCCAACGTGGTGAAACCCCGTCTCTATTAAAAATATAAAAATATTAGCCAGTTGTGGCGGCAGGTGCCTGTAATCCCAGCTACTCAGGAGGGTGAGGCAGGAGAATTGCATGAACCTGAGAGGCAGAAGTTGCAGTGAGCTAAGATCGTGCCACTGCACTCCAGCCTAGGTGATAAGAGTGAAACTCTGTCTCAAAAAAAAAAGTAGATGAAACCGTCTAGGTGTGGTGGCTCACGCCTGTAATCCTAGCACTTTGGGAGGCTGTGAAGCAAGTGGATCATCTGAGATTAGGAGTTTGAGACCAGTCTGGCCAACATGGTAAAACCCTGTCTCTACTAAAAGTACAAAAATTAGCTGAGCGTGGTGGAACATGCCTGTAATACCAGCTACTTGGGAGGCTGAGGCAGGAGAATCCCTTGAACCAGGGAGACGGAGGTTGCAGTGAGTCGAGATCATGCCACTGCGCTCCAGCCTGGGTGACAGAACAAGACTCCATCTCAAAAAAGAAAAGAAGAAACCAGCATTAAGTGTTAATAATGAATCTTATGAACTTGGTTAAAGGGAGCGCATCCCTGAGAACCAGGACTGGAGTTAGTGAACACTATTAACTTTTACCACGGAGGCTAGGACTAGAACACCAAACTATGCCTTGTTTACCAAAGTGCCATCACCTTGCCATGTCCTGCGAGACAGACTGTCATTCTCTCAAAATATCATCCCTGCCCCACAGCATTGGCCCTAGAGTACCGTAGCACACTGTATATTAGGAGAATATTTTTGGGAGCTAGTTTGAGGAAATGTATTAAAATTATAAATTCTTTTTTTATTATTATGAAAAAAAAGACTGAGTGTCACTATGTTGCTGAGGCTGGTCTTGAACTCCTGAGCTCAGGTGATCCTCCTGCCTCAGCCTCCCAAAATGCTAGGATTACAGGCATGAGCCACCATGTCTGGCCAAAATCATAAAATCTTTTCTATCCTTTGACCCAGTAATTCTCCCTAGGGAAGCAAACAAACAAAAAATGTCTTCTGAAGAAATAATTCGACGTGATGGGAAAAGCTGTATGCATGAAAATGTGCATTTTAGCATTATTTTATTTTTTAAATTTAAAATCTTAATTTGCCAAATCACTTTTCCCCTGAGAATCAGCATTACTTATCACTGAAAATTGCAGGCAACCCATAATCCAGCAATAGAGAAGTAATTATGTAAATAATTGTAGGTCAATTTAATCAAATAACATAGCTACTAAAACGGATAAAGATCTGTAGTCCCAGCACTGTGGGAGGGCAGGTGGATCACCTGAGGTCAGGAGTTTGGGACCAGTCTAACCAACATGGCAAAACCCCATCTCTACTAGAAATACAAAATTAGCATGCCTATAGTCCCAGCTACTTAGGAGACTGAGACAGGAGAGTTGCTTAAACCCTGGAGGCAGAAGTTGAAGTGAGCCAAGATTGCACATTGCACTCCAGGCTGGGCAACAAGAGCGAAACTCCATCTCAAAAAAAAAAAGGATAAAGATTGTGCCAGGTGCGGTGGCACATGTGTGTAATCTCAGCATTTTGGGAGGCCAAGGTGAGTGGATCACTTGAGGTTAGGAGTTCAAGACCAGCCTGGTCAAATTGGCGAAACCTCATCTCTACCAAAAATACAAAAATTATCTGATTGTGGTGGCGGGCACCTGTAATCCCAGCTACTTGGGAGGCTGAGGCAGCAGAATCTCTTGAACCCAGGAGGCGGAGGTTGTAGTGAGCTGAGATCTTGCCACTGTGCTAAAAATGTAATAATTTGGGGAAATGTTCATAATTAATACCGAGTGAAAAAATCAGTACATAAAACTTAGATTTATATTTAAACTAAGATTAGGCCGGGCGCGGTAGCTCAAGCCTGTAATCCCAGCACTTTGGGAGGCCGAGGTGGGTGGATCACGAGGTCAAGAGATCAAGACCATCCTGGTCAACATGGTGAAACCCCGTCTCTACTAAAAACTACAAAAAATTAGCTGGGCATGGTGGCGCGTGCCTGTAGTCCCAGCTACTCAGGAGGCTGAGGCAGGAGAATTGCCTGAACCCAGGAGGCGGAGGTTGCGGTGAGCCGAAATCGCGCCATTGCACTCCAGCCTGGGTAACAAGAGCGAAACTCCGTCTCAAAAAAATTAAATAAATAAACTAAGATTATGACTATAATTTTTATATTTGTAATTTTAATATGCAAATTATAAGCCACCACACCTGGCTTTTTTTTTTTCTCCCCAGACATGAGGTCTCGCTGTTGCCCACGCTGGTCTCGAACTCCTGGGCTGAGGCAATCCTCCGACCTTGACCTCGCAAAGTGCTGGGATTACAGGCATGAGCTGTTACCCCTGGCCTAGAAAGATATTAAAATACTATTAAGGAATATTCAAAACTAGTTATTATATCAGGGTAGTAGAATAAGGGATTTGTTTTTTAAATTCGTTTTCCATTGCAGCTGCCTAATGATGATTTTGAATCTGTTCTCTGGTGCTTTGTCCTGCAGTTGCCACCAGTTGACCACTTGGCAGTATAACTTCTTAAACTCTCAGCCAGGAGGAGCCCTAGGGCAGGGAAAGCTGCAGATGAGTTGGCTTCCTGGCTGCTATCCAAGCTAGGATTTCGTGTTTTCTCTAGTACAGTCAGTTATCTTCGACTTTAGGGAGCAATAGGTCTCTGGACTATAGGTTTTATCTTCCATTCTGGGCTTATCTTTGGATTCTTGTTGATGAGTCAGAAAAAAGGACCATCAATGAGGTGTTTGCTAGTTCTTCAAGTATGAGCTCAGCTTTGTTATCTGGTTGGAGTCATTTCCTTTGAAAATGTGTGGTAGAGTTTGCCAAAGTAAGTAGTAATGTGGTCTCATTCCTTCTCAGGAAGATATGTGCCTGTAGATCAAATCTATGCATTGCAGAACTCAGATCTGTTTGAAAACAAAGAGAGGTGGGGACAGAAAGTAAACATACAAAAGATTTGGCAGCACAGATTACCTGCCTGGTGGTCCTTTTTGGCAGTTTTTCATAATTGCCTTCAAAATAGGGACAGTGTCCTGAATGTTGGTCACATGTGTTGAAGATTTCTTTTGAGATTGTGCTTCATGGTGACCTCCTGGGATCAGGGGACTACCAGGTTGCCTAAGGAGGGGTGAACCAGCCCAGGTCAGAAATGGAGCAGGTCAAAACTCCTGTGCTGATCAGTAGTGGGATCGCGCCTGTGAATAGCCACTACACTCCACACTGGGCAACACAGTGAGACTCCGTCTCAAAAAAGAGAGAGAGAGAGAGAGAGTTGATGCTTGGATGATGGGGCCTGAAAAAAGAGAACCCACCCAGTCCTATTTTGTGCCTTCATTTGGACATGCTCTCCCTTTTCTTCCAAGGAACTATACCCTGAATTAGTATTGAGTCTAGTATGACTGAGATTTTGTTTTCTTTTTCTTTCCCTAGGGTTCTCAGAAGCGAGCTATCTCCACCCCAGAAACCCCCCTAACAAAAAGGAGTGTGTCAACTCGTAGCCCCCATCAGCTCCTCTCACCATCAAGTTTCTCTCCAAGGTATGGATCATAATCAATTCAGGTGCCATAAAGCAGGCCCCCCCTCCCCTTTCTCTGGCTGTCTGATGAAGGCTAACAGCAAAGTTACTTATTAACTATAGGTGGGCGTGTACATCTGCAGTAGATTGGCTGAAAAGCCTATTGCTGTCTGTCTTCCTTGCTTTCCCTTTCTCTATGGAAAATTACTGTTTCTTACCGTAATTAAGGAAACTCACTTTCCACCTACTTTTCTATGGCTCATTTCCGAGATCAGGAACTGATATCTTCTATTGAAAACAACCTGTCTATTCAGAAGCCTAAGAATCTTAACAGGTCTTGTCAGTAGAGGCAAGTAGGTTTCCACCTGCTTCTGTTAGTTTGTGTTTTGTTGGGTTTCTTTTTCTTTTCATCTAAAGTGTTTATTTTTTAAAAAGAAAAGCACATATCTTTGTTCATGATGTTTCGCAACCTGTTATTGTTTCTTACTCAGGTTACAACTAGTTTCTGAGAGTTTTCTTGTCACTGTGAATCTGCACTGACTTAATTGGTATTTTGTCCCTCTGCCCCCATTGCACATAAATCCACAAAGATCATACGTAATTTTTTGAAATCCGTAAATGACACGTATTAGAGAATTCCATAGGCAAGAGCTCTGCTGAGTAGATGGGTTTTTAGGAGCTTCCACATCAAGATGAGGCTCAAGAACAGTAGTATTAACCCTTTGGGGAAACACCAACTGCCAGGAGTCACTACCTCTACTTGGATCACTTCTAGATGAACCAGAGCTTAAAATTTTTCAGCTCTATCACTTTTTTTTTTTTTTTTTTTTTTTGAGATAGAGTCTCACTCTGTCACTGAGGCTGGAGTGCAGTGGCGCCATCTTGGCTGACTGCAACTTCTACCTCCCAGTTCAAGCGATTCTCCTGCCTCAGCTTCCCAAGTAGCTGGGACTACAGGTATGTGCCACCACATCTGGCTAATTTTTGTATTTTTAGTACAGACAGGGTTTTACCGTGTTGTCCAGGCTGATCTCACACTCCTGACCTCAGGAGATCCACCTGCCTTGGCTTCCCAAAGTCCTAGGATGACAAGCATGAGCCACAGTGCCCAGCCTTTTCAGCTCTATAACTTTAGAAAGGTGGTGATAGAAGCTCTGCAGTCATTCAAGATGAGTGGTCATTGGATTGTTTTTCCTTTCTTTTTTTTTTTTTTTTAAAAAAAAAAAAAGATAGTCTCGCTCTGTCACCAGGCTGGAGTGCAGTGGTGTGACCTCGGCTCACTGCAACCTCAGACTCCCTGGTTCATGTGATTCTTCTGCCTCAGCCTCCTGAGTAGCTGGGATTACAGGCACGCACCACCATGCCCAGCTAATTTTTGTATTTTTAGTAGAGATGGAGTTTCACCATGTTGGCCAGGATGGTCTCAATCTCCTGACCTCATGATCCACACGTCTCGGCTTCCCAAAGTGCTGAGATTATAGGCGTGAGCTACCGCGCCCAGCCTTTTTTTTTTTTTAAGATAGGCTTTCACTCTGTTGCCCAGGGTGGATGCAGTGGCACGATCCTAGCTCACTGTAGCCTTGGCCTTCCAGGCTCAGGTGATCCTCCTACGTCAGCCTCCTAAGTAGCTGAGACTACAGACATATGCTACCAAGCCCAGCTAATTTTTGTAGAGACAGGGTTTCACTATGTTGCCCAAGCTGGTCTTGAACTCCTGGCCTCAAGCAATCTGCCCACCTCAGCCTCCCAAAGTACTGGGATTACAGGCATAAGCTACCACGCCTGGCAGTATTTGGATTTTGAAGGACAATTTTACTTTAGGGTGGTCTACTGCTGCTTTGGGGAGTTCTCAGACTTTTTGGAAGAAAGCTTTCTAGACTTAACAAGAGCATCTTTGCAACCTGGTATATAGGGATGGTTCATATAGACATGCCAGGACCATTTCAGGAGTTATATTCTCCAAATGTAAATACAATCCTCTGAAACCTGTCGAACTGTTTGCAGCTGGCCTCATGTGAGCATCTTGTTGCATTAAAGGGCCTGCTATAATGGGTGACTCCTGAGCTTCCCAGGGAAGAGCTTGGAGAAGTTGGCAAAATGCTGCCTAGTAATTTTTTAATGTACACTAATAAAGCTGACAGCAGAAACTGGTTTTGTAATTTACGAAAATAACTTCTAAATTATTCAGGTAGAGGTGGCACTGGAGATTGAGATAATTAATTGAGCTCATTTTCTGTAGCCTCTCTGTGGAAAGAAAGAATGATGGCATTAATTGCAGTGGTGCCCCACATAAAACTGGTTCCTACAGAGTTTCAGTGCGTTAAACAAAGCCTGTTTTAAAGAGACCTCTCTATACAATGTGTTTACAACCAGAGAGTTAGAAGACCTTGCTGTCATCTAAGCATATCAGCAATATCCATGTGTTCTTGAGAGGTGTAATTTACTGTCAGGGAGTGGAAATGTGAGAACTTGGCAGTTGAGCCTGGAAAAATGGGAACATTTGCACATCAGCAGACTGTTAATTCATTACTTCTCTACCTCCATAGACACTAGGGAAAGCTGATTAATTTTAACTTCATTTGATTGTTTCTACCTTGAACTATATTGTGAGTTTTATATATGCTCAGCAAGTTTGGCTTATCCACAGTTCCAGGCTCAGATGATGTTCTAATAAGCACTAAAAATTCATAAGAAGAAAAAAATGGTATTTGAAGTTTGCCTTTTCATCAAGTCAGAGTTTGGAGATTTTTTTTTGCCTTGCTTAGTTTTAATCCCAAGATAACGACAACCTTTTAAAATACGTTTCTGTCTCTAAGCTTCTCTAAAAATGTTTGGTATTCTTCAGCCTGGTATTCCTCAACCCTTCATTCCTGAAATTCCTTAAAGGTCTGGGTATGTCCCACCTCGTAAAACTGATTCAATTTATAAATTACGAGGCTACATTCCTTTTCTCCAGTCCCCATTTCCAAAAGAACCTCATTTGATTCCCCTCTCCCTTTAGGTATGAACACAGTAATGTTAATCTGTTTTTGCTTCCAATTAGTGCTACTCCCTCCCAGAAATATAACTCAAGAAGTAACCGAGGAGAAGTGGTTACCTCCTTTGGCTCAGCACAGGGAGTGTCTTGGTCTGGGAGAGGAGGAGCTGGAAACATCAACCTGAAGGTCTTGGGGTGTCCAGAGGCACTAACTGGGAGCTACAAATCCATGTTTCAGAAGCTCCCAGACATTCGAGAAGGTGATTGTTTTTCCCTTTGAAATTCTGGTGGATATAAAGCCACCTGGAAGGGTTTAGAGTAACAAAGCTTCAGCTAGGCTGGTAGAACAAGTTCCAAAGTTGTCTTTGAATATACGAGTTGGTAGATTTTCTCATGGAAGTCCTAGTAATGGAGGGACACTGGCGATACTATCAGTAATTGTCCCAATTCACTTCACTTTGCTTAAAAAGCACATGACCATTCCCAGCAGCAAAAACTTGAACAATGTAAAGGAATTCAACTTAAAGATAGTCGTGCCTTCTTCCTTAGAAGCGTTCTTCAGGTTGGCCTTGACTTGCCTAAAACCTCAGTGAGGACCTGAGTAAAGGGCAGACTTGGGGATGGGGTGGGGTCCATGCTGATTCCCTGGGATTGTGCTATGGGGTCTCCTGTGGCCAGATGGAAGGCCAGATTCAGCAACCAAATATCGGGAAATTGGCAAGGGTTTTAGAAGGTTTAAACTGGCCAGATGTCGCAGGCACCCTTCCTGCTTCTATAAAATGACTGACTTTAATATTTTACAATGTGCTGTATTTTCTCTTCTTGGCAAGTGAAATGTCTTAAACATAATAATTTTTTTCCACTTCTGGGATTGCAGTTCTGACCTGTAAGATAGAAGAACTTGGCAGTGAACTCAAGGAACATTACAAGATTGAGGCTTTCACTCCTTTGCTAGCCCCAGCACAAGTAAGAGTTGTTCCAATAGTTCTTACTAATTAATATTAAATTTTAAAATTGATGACCAAGAGGCACCCTTGTTGCTTCCTTTTTCACTTCTTGTCTGTGTTCTAGTTTGAACATCGATCTTGGTTGAATTTGGGAAAATGGGCCCTTCTGAAGAAAGATTTGTAAGTGCTGTCTGGTTTTGTGACAGTGCATTATTTTCTTCCCACCTGGATTAGGGTCTTGCACATAAGCAGAGACTGAAGGCCTTGTTTCCCTTGGTGGCGAGACAGGTAGCTCCCCGGGGATTTCCCACAAATAGAAGCATTCAAGTATTGAGATAAAAGGACAGCAGCGAGGGAGGGGTTTTCAGAGTCTTGTTCTCTAGGCAATGACTCACAGTCTCCCCTGGTTTTTTAGTCTCTTGTTATAGACAAACTGCTGCCAGTAGTATCTTTATATCATAGTTTAATCTGGTGTATGTACCAGTGCTTTCTCTCTAGAACATTTTCTAATCTAAGGGGAAATGTGTTCTAGAAGTTTCTTTAAAGTACCTTTGTCAATGTTTACATTGAAAGAATGACCAGTTGGGGAAGTGATGCAGAACTGTGTCATAGAAGGAAGTTTTGGAGGACTTGGAAGGAAGTTATTGAGGGAAGGCAGGGATGCATAATCACATGGGAAAGATGAGACTTCCTCTTTTCTCCCAAGAGCGGGAACAGAACAAAGGAAGCCATGGGGAGATAGATTTTAGCTCAGTTTAATAAAGAACTTCTTGTTAAGAGGTTGTATGGTATGTGGCTAAATATATGGCTCTGGAGCCAAATTTCTGGGCTCAAACCTAAGCTTCACCCACCTTGACTAAATCATCTAACCTCTCTGTTGCTTGTTTTCCTCATCTGTAAAATGGGTACAATAATATTCACTTGATGGTGGTTGTGAGGATTAAATGAGTTAATACATATAAAATGCATAAGAATACATTTTAGAAGAGTACATGGTATTTAGTAAGCTCAAGAGACGTTAGCTATTATTAAGTAGTTATAGCTGTCCAAAGACAGTGGGCTGCTCTGGGGTGGTGAGGATGGGGTGGGGTGGTCACCCAGAGGCAAGTTCCCCTGCACTAGGGATGCTCACGCTTAGGCAGCCTCCTAGGAGGGCTCAAGTGCTGTATGGGTGGGTGGACAAGATGCCCATTCAGAGCTCTTCCACCCTGAGAGTCAGTGATGATGCTGTCATCACCTCAGGGTCAAAGCAATGCCCTGCCAAAAAAATGTATTTGTTGTTTGCAGTTTGTTTTGCTATTCACCCTGTTGACATCAGATTTTGAGCTCCTGCTCCAAAGACTGTCATTCTTATGCTGTGACCTTCCTTTGGTAGGAGCTTGTCACTCTACTGGGCCAGATTGGCTGTGATAGCAACGGGAAGCTGAACAATAAGTCAGTGATTCTCGAGGGAGACCGGGAACATTCCTCAGGTGCTCAAATTCCAGTGGATTTATCTGAACTTAAGGAATATTCTCTGTTTCCCGGACAGGTGAGATGGGAGGAGTTCCACCAGGATGCAGGCGCACTCTTTACATCTGTAGTGTACATACTGTGCCATGCGCGGCTGCTCCTCAGTTCCTGTCTCTGCTGCCGTGGTGTGTGACTGGAGCACATGCCCTGGCAGACACCATTGTTGGGATTCTCATTTCCCCCATGCTCTCACCGAGGCTCTGGGACCCGACTGCCCGGCCTCAAATCCCAACTCCACTCCACGAGGTGCGTGGCTGTGGGCAAGGTACTTAACCATCTAAGCCACAGCGTCTTCATTCACAAAATGGAAATAATAATTCTTACCTCATAGGATTGTGGTGAATATTAGATCACTAATATAGAGCATAATTATTATTGCTAATGCAACGCCCTTAATTTGTTTTCTAGAAAAATGCCCCAAGTTTACAGTTACAAAATGAGAGTAGTCGGACAATGCTTTTAATTGCCTCAAAATAATATATTCCAGATTTCATTGATGTCTACTGCTTAGCAATCCGGTTTGTTTCTTGTCTTTCAGGTTGTAATTATGGAAGGAATCAACACCACTGGTAGGAAACTTGTTGCCACCAAGCTGTACGAGGTACACGGCGGTACCCCCACTTGCCTCTTGGTTTGCTTCAGTCAAAGTATGAAGCTGTGTGTTCTAGAAACTGGTCCTTTTTAGGAGCCCATTTATTTGTTAGTCAGTTCTCCATCTATAAGTGGGAGCCCACCCCTAGGCCAGGAGTCTCTTTCTGTAAAGGGCCAGCAGTATCTCTTTTAGACTTTGTAGCAGTGAGGTCTCTATCACAATGACTCAACTCTGCCTTTATCTTACAAAAGCAGCCCTAGAGGACTCTTAAACAGATGACTATGGCTGTGTTCCAATAAAACTTGATTTAAATAGTGGGCTGCAGCCAGATTTGGCTCAGAGGCATAAGCTCACGTATCCCTGCTCTAGACAACAATCCTCCAGAGATTTTCATAGAATGCCAGGAGAAGTAGCAAGACACCCTTCTCTCCCATCCTTGCCTAGAAGTACACTGATACTTCAGGCACCTGTTTTGCTCCCACTTATTGCTGGGTGTTTTATGACAGTTCAGTAGTGACCTCCCATTGCCTGGGTTTCTTTCTCCTCTGAGCAGTATTGAAAAGTGGCAGTTCCCATCAGATCCAAGGAGCAAGACAGAGGCACATCCTTCTGCTGCCTTCTGGCTCCTCCCCACTGTCCTCCCATCACACACCTGCACCACCCCCAACCCAGTGCCCTCCCCTTTCTTTACCAAGGCTATGCCTGGCGCAAGACCTTACTTGAGCTTTTCCCCTGTTTTTAGGGTGTGGCACTTCCATTTTATCAGCCCACCGAAGAGGATGGAGGTAAGTTTTGGTTCAAATATTATTTTCCCAACAATGAAGGTGATGGACGTGAGTCCAGGAGTACAATTTCCCGAGCTGAAGAAAGCTGCAGAAGCTGCTGAAGAGCGATATGACCAACTGGTGAGGGCATCTCCGTCAGTGAGTTCGTAGGCTTTTTGTCACAAGACCCCTGGTCTGAGCCCAATGAACATTGGTCGACCTATTGCCTGAGCTCTGCCTACATGAAGCATGTTGTTTAAAGACTAATGTTTAACGAGTATTTTTGAAGATTATCTTGGAAAGGAAAAAGATGTACGATATCAAAAAGAATTTTTTTACATGCAGTGTGGGCTGGACATGGTGGCTCACACCTGTATTCCCAGCACTTTGGGAGGCCAAGGTGGGAGGATCACCTGATCCCAGGAGTTGGAGACTAGCCTGGGCAACACAGGGAGACCCTGTCTCTACTAAAAATAAAAAAAATATTAGCTGGGCGGTGGCGCGTGCCTGTAGTCCTAGCTAATCAGATCAACTTCAGGTAATGAAATCAACCTGGCTGAGATACCAGGAGCCTAAGTTATATACCAGGGAAGCCTTTGGAAGCAGTTTAACAGGTTGTTAATGAACTTCTTTTGTACAAGAACTTAAACAAGGCACTCATGGAGGTACAGAATAAGACATGGCCCTCGCTCTCCAAGCACTCATTGCTGACACTGGGGTTTACATCTCCTGTAGGCTTCTCAGAGCCAAACTTAACCTTGTCCCCCTACCCCACCACCATGTGAAACCTACTCTTCCCCTTGAAGGCTGTGTCTCAATTCATGTATTATTGCTATGGTAGACTGAATCATAGCCCCAGGAATCCCTGGAACCGGTGAATATTTTACCTTATGTGGTAAAGGAGACTTTTTGCCCGTGTGATTAAGTTAAGGCTGTTGAGATGGGGGAATTAGCCTGGATTATCAGGTGGGCCCACTATAATCACAAGGGTCCTTATAAGAGGAATGGCAAGAGAATCAGAGTCAGACCTTAGCAATGTTAAGCAGCTGTGATTTGAGGAAGCCTAAAGAAAAATTTTATTTGCTGGACGTGGTGGCTCACGCCTATAATCCCAACACTTCGGGAGGCCGAGGTGGATGGATCACTTGAGGTCAGGGGTTCGAGATCAGCCTGGCCAACATGGTGAAACCCCATCTTTAAAAAAAATTTTCTTTAAAAAAAGAAAAATTTTATTTAAAAATAAAAGAGAGAAATGGTAGGCTTCTGGCTTTGCCGATGAAGATGGCGCCATGAACCAGGGAATGGAGGTGGCCTCTGTAAGCTGGAAAAGGCAAGGAAATAGATTCCTCCCTAGAACCTCCAGACAGAAGGAACTCAGCCCTGTCCACACCTTCATTTTAGGATCTTTGACCTCCGGAACTGTAAGATAATAAATTCATGGGCTTTTTTTTTTTTTTTTTTTTTTTTTAAATGAGACAGAGTCTTGCTGGTGAACAGTGGCATGATCACAGCTCACTGCAGCCTCAACCTCCCAGGCTCAAGCAATCCTCCCACTTCAGCCTCCCAGGAGGTGCACACTACCATGCCCAGCTAATTTTTGTAGAAACAGGATTTCACCATGTTGCCCAGGCTGGTCTCGACCTCCTAAGCTCAAGGGATCCTCGCACCTTAGCCTCTCAAAGTGCCAGAATTACAGGCTTTGAGCCACCACACCTGGCCAGAATTGTGTTGTTTTAAGGCACTATGTTTGTGATAACTTGTTATAGCAACAACAAGAAACTAAACAATAGCATATTAAGAAGCCAGGGATCTTTGGATTTCATGGTTGTAAGCTACAGACACTGGCTCAGACTAATAAGAAAGCATGAATTTATTAGGGGAGATCCAGATAGCTCACAGACTGGACAAGTGGCTAGAAACCCAGGTTTGGAACCGGGATGAGAGCCCAGGAACTCTAGCATCCAGGTAGCAGGAATTCCCCTGCTGTCTCATCTGGACACCTCGGCTGGAATAGTAGCTCCAACCTTTCTTCTCTCCTTGGATAGCTCACCTCAAGATTGCAGACCCTGGGAGGAGAGTGTGAATGGCCAAAACTGGGTCATGTGCCTGCCCTTGGCTAGAGGAAGACAGAGCACCCAATTTACAGCCCTATGTGGACTGCCTTGTGGAGGGGAGGGCTGATTCTCCAAAAGGAAAGCAGCTGCTGTTAGACAAAGGGCAAAGCGTGATAGGTGGCCCCTGTACCCCGTCACCCTGGAGTCTCTGGTTCCAGGCCTTTGACCCCAGCAAGCCTCTCTGGGCTCTTCAGTACCCTCCATTCTCCAGCCACACTGGACCACCAGACATTTCCTAACACTGACCACACCCAGGTCTCAGTGCTGTTCTATACCCTGCCTTGCCCTTGATCCCCCAAAATTCTCAAAAATGTAAGCAAATCCTACCTTGTACATTCTTTCTGACTGCCACTTTCCTGGAATCTTTCATGTGCACTGCCCGTAAAGTGCTGACTGCATGTTCCAGGTATTGGCGTACCTGCCTGTCTCTGCCTATACCACCTAGTGGAGTGTTCTTGGAGGATGGACATGAGGTCTTCCTCACCTTGGGTCCCCAGAGTTGCACACATAAAGGACTCAATGAGTTGAATCCTGTGGCATTTTCCCCTAATTGTCCTTTCTCCTCCCACCATTCTAATGCCAGTCCTCTTCTAATCAAGACCCACAATCCTCTGTCTTAGACTTTGAGCAAACGATGGTGCTGGTTGCCTGTGGGCCATACACCACATCTGACAGCATCACATATGACCCCCTCCTCGACCTGATTGCTGTCATCAACCACGACCGGCCAGATGTCTGCATCCTGGTAAGACGCACCAGTGGGAAAGCTGAGGAGATGGCCTTGGAAAACGTTTTTAATGCAGTTCTAAATTTTTAGGAAGCATGTCAGTCCTTCCTCCTTTTAGAAAATAGCTTTTCATTCGTTATGTCTTTGGAGAGGTATACATGATCTATAGGCCTTCACTAAATTTAAAAACCCAACTTTGGCTAGACGCAGTGGCTCACGCCTGTAATCCTAGCACTTTGGGAGGCTGAGGTATGTGGATCACTTGAGGGCAGGAGTTCTAAATCAGCTTGGCCAACATAGTGAAACCCTGTCTCTACTAAAAATACAGAAAAATTAGCCGGGTATGGTGGCAGGCACCTACTCCCGGCTACTCGGTAGGCTGAGGCAACAGAATCGCTTGAACCTGGGAGGCGGAGGTTGCAGTGAGCCAAGATTGCACTACTGCCCTCCAGCCTGGGCAACACAGCAGGACTCCATCTCAAAAAATAATAATAATAATAAATAAAAGTTCAACTTTTATTTTTTACCACCCTTCATTGATTTTACAGCATTCTTACCTCTTTCTCATTACTACAACTTCTGAACTAATCTCTTTTTAAAGCTCAAAATACTGTTAGTGTGGTGGTCAATTTCCCTTGCTAAGTTTAGAAAGTCAGAAAAAAGTCCAGTGTGTATTTTTTTTTTTTTTGAGGCAAAGCAAGACTCTGTCACCTAGGCTGGAGTGCCATGGCGCAATCGCAGCTCACTGTAGCCTCCATCTCCTGGGCTCAAGTGATCCTACCCTGTCCTCCCTGCCTCAGTCTTCCCAATAGCTTGGACTACAGGCACATGCCACCATGCCTAATTTTTGTATTTTTTGTAGAGACAGGGTTTCACCATATTGCCCAGGCTGGTCTTGAATTCCTGGGCTCAGGCAGTCTGCCCACCTCAGCCTCCCAAAGTGCTAGAATTACAGGCATGAGCCAATGCGTGATTACAGCCATGAACCACTGCGTGATTACAGCCGTGAACCCAATGTTATAGGGGGCAGTAGTGCCGGTTATGGGGCCCTGGGAGCCTCCCTCCATCCGGGGCACACATGCTTCTGCCTGTGAAATTGGCTTGGTGCCCCCGCCAGCCCATATGCTAGCTGTCCCCAGGCTCTGCAGGCAGCCTTGGAGGGATACATGGGCCCTGGGCAGAGAACTGTCAGAAGAGGTGAGCTGGAGTCATTCACAGACACATGTGATTCTGATTTGTTCTTTTGGTGTCTTTGTTTCTCATCTTGCAGTTTGGCCCTTTCCTGGATGCTAAGCATGAACAAGTGGAGGTGAGTGACTCAGGCTGGGGCGGGAAGGGCTCCTGGGTACTTGCATTCAGTCAGGCTCTCACTTTTCATTTTTCAGTGTTTATCCCACTTTATCCCACATCTGTAACAAACACATTAATTCCTGTGGCTAATCAGAAAATCATTTTAGCAGGGCACTTTATTAATAAAGATCTTGAATCCGAGGGTTTCCTTGCACTAGAATATAAGGCTGTCTGGAAGCTAGGGGAGGTACATATAAATATATCAGTACCAGTGTTCCTTTGTTTGTGATGCCTAGTGCTCAGGCACAAGAGCACTAGCACAAATGCAGGTGCTGAGTCACAGGCTGCCCTGTGAAAGTACCTATCCTGGCCAAGCTTATAACTCATATCTTGCTGTCCTTTGCATAAAACACGAATGGGCCTTGCTGGGACATCTCCATGGCTGAGGTCTGGAACCTCTGATCCTTTGTCTCATGATATTTTACCTTCCACGGAAAATATTTCAAAGCACACTTCCTTTTAGTCTCTCTCAGATTGCATTCAAGAGGATTCATTCCCACATCTCCTCTCCTGCCTTTGAGCAGACTTAGCTCCTTAAGACAAAGACCACATCTTCTTCTTTGCATCTCCTTCAGCTTGTAGCACAACAGCTGGCATCTGTGGGTGACCTAACGGTGTTAAACAAGTGAGTAAACACCAAACATCTGCCTTCTAAATCGATCTCCTTTCCTTTGCTGCAGAACTGTCTACTGACAAGTCCATTTGAAGACATTTTCAAGCAGTGTCTACGAACAATTATTGAAGGCACAAGAAGGTCAGAATTCAAAATACTGGACAGAACCTTAAGCTTCCTAGGTTTCTCCAGAGATTCCCATTAAGAAACTGAAACTGTTTAAAAGTCATGGCAGGGCCAGGCGCAGTGGCTTATGCCTGTAATCTCAGCATTTTGGGAGGCCGAGTTGGGTGCATCACCTGAGGTTAGGAGTTCAAGACCAACCTGGCCAACTTGGTAAAATCCCGTGTCCACTAAAAATACAAAATTAGCTAGGCATGGTGGTGGGCACCTGTAATCCCAGCTACTTGGGATTCTGAGGCAGAAGAATCACTTGAACCCAGGAAGCAGAGGTTACAGTGAGCCAAGATTGTACCATTGCACTCCAGCCTAGGCAAAAAGCAACACTCTGTCTCAAAAAAAAAAAAAAAAGCCAGGCACAGTGGCTCACACTTGTACTCCCAGCACTTTGGGAAGCTGAGGCAGGCGGATCTCCTGAGGTCAGGAGTTCAAGACCAGCCTGACCAACATATGAAACCCCATCTCTACTAAAAATAAAAAATTAGCCAGGCATGGTGGTGCATCTCTGTAATCTCAGCTACTTGGGAGGCTGAGGCAGGAGAGTCACTTGAACCCAGGAGGTGGAGGTTGCAGCGAGCCAAGATCTCACCATTGCACTCCAGCCTGGCAACAAGAGTGAAACTCTGTCTCAAAAAAAAAAGATCATGGCACTTCCTATTTTCTTCTTTTTGAATTACTGAGATCAGATAGAACCCTTGAACTTCAAGTGCGGACACCAAGTTAAGAGGCATTTTTGTAAAACACAAAGATAAACATACTTGAAAGGACAAGGTCTCACTCTTCCATTGCTCTTTTTCTTCTATACTTAGTTCCTTTTCTCACTCCCTCTTGTATAAACTAATATTCCACGGGAATCTTCCCAGGATGGTTTTGAGAAGTGTTTGGTGACTTACACAGTGAAATCCTGTGAGACCCAAAACATCTGGTTGTGTAAGCGATTGTTTTGGGTGAGCCCAAGTTCCTCCCAAGTCAGTGCTTCCCCAGGGTACATGGGACACCCCCAGTGGCTAGAACCATTGGTGGTAGAAACTCTCAGTGAGGGTGGGGCCTTGAATCCTTGCCATAGACCAAACGGAAGGAACTGTGAGAAGTCACAGCAGTGAAGCGAGAGCTGTGCAGTTCCCATCTGAGAGGAAAGTCACTGTTCCGGGAAGAGGCTGAAGCCGGGAGTGGAAAGTTATTCAGAAACCTGACATCCTCCGTTCCTGTCCCTTTCCCCCAGTGCCGGGGTTGAAAGAAGTTGGTATAGGTGGTAAGCCTCCTCCCAAGATCTGTGTGCCTGTAGCTGAGCTAATAAAATGTTCCTGAGGCTAAGCTTTTAAAAACAAGTCTATCATAAAGGTGGTTTTTTAAAACAAGATGTCTAATCTTCCACCTTGTAGCTGTGGGAACTTACCCCAGAGTCACTAACTTGTAACACTACCTTTTTTTTTTTTAAAGATGGGGTTTCACCATATTGGTCAGGCTGGTCTCAAACTTCTGACCTCAGGTGATCCACCCACCTCAGCCTCCCAAAGTGCTGGGATTACAGGCGTGAGCCACCACGCCTGGCTAACACTACCTTCTTGTACCAGCAGCGTGGGCCAGGATGGCAGGTGTCACAGCTGGAATAAAGAGCACCCCCAACTCACCCCAGAATCAGAGACTTGGGTTATGCTGGTGACAACAATGGCTGGTTCTGCCCCTTTCTCCCTCCCTCCCTCCAATGAAGGTGACACAAGTGCCTTCCCTCTTCTTCCCCAGATGTGTGTGATCCTGATCAAGTTCATCAAGGCTGGAGAGTGCTTAGAACTCCTCAGGAGATAAGCCCCCAAAACACATGAGCAGGGCTGTGTTCTCCTTTTGTCAGCCCTTGGGAACAGGGAGGGACTGTGTCGTAGTGCCCTAACTCTGGCTGGGTGCTTGCAGTTTGAGGTTGGGTTCTGTTTTTGGTTCCTTACCCCATGTGGTATTGACAGCAGTGATAGAAAGAAAGCACAGATGAGGCATTGTTCCACTGGGGGTGAGAGCCCAGCACCACCAGGCACTTTCATCTATGGCCAGTGTGTGCCACAGGGCAGGGGAGCTGCCCCACCCTTCTAGAAACAGTATATAAATGGTCCTTGGGCAGAGAATTTCTTTGTATTCCTGAGAGGTCAGAAATGCAGAGCATTAAGCTGATTCATCATTAGTAAAAGTCAGAGCCAGGCAGGGTGCTGTGGCTCATGCCTGTAATACCAGCACTTTGGGAGGCTAAGATGGGCAGATCACTTGAGGTCATGAGTTCAAGACCAGCCTGGCCAACACGGCAAAACCCCTCTCTACTAAAAATACAAAAATTAGCCAGACTTGGTGGTGGGTGCCTGTAGTCCCAGCTACTCAGGAGTCTGAGGCAGAAGAATCGCTTAGACTTGGGAGGCAGAGGTTGCAGTGAGCCAAGATTGCGCCACTGCACTCCAGACTGTGTGACAGCAAGACTGCATCTCAATAAATAAATAAATAAATAAGCCAGAGCCAGGGAGAAAGCACCTCAGAGGAAGCAAGCAGAGCCTGCAGTTCTCGTCCTGTTTGTGGGAGCAGCTGGAGGACCCTCCCACAATGACGTATGAGGTTGTGCAATGCTGAGCATAGTTGGGATTTTTTTCTGATCCCTCCTTCTATAGCCAGTTTCTAACCATGAGCAGGAAGGCTATTTCCTCATTAACTCTTGCTCTTCCAAAGCCTACACTGAAATAGGGCAGTTTTGTCCCTGGACAGCAGCCAGCTGCACCTCAGCCCTTTGTGTTCATCACAGACGTCAAGCCCTTGAGATCTGGAGCACAGATGGTGCCATTCAGGTTACCCCGTGGCCTGTTTACCAACCCTGGCACCCCAGTGGTGGACTGGAGCATCATAGTGAGCTGCTCAGTGTCAAAGGGACTGTAGTGAACATGCAAACACCTTTGGTCTCAGAAGTCGCTTTTCCTTTGTAGACGTCTCAGTTCATACTCTGAGAGGACACCACAAACAGCGATGGGGTGGCAGCTGTCACCAGCACCCTTATCACATGCAAATGTGCGTACATCTGGGAAGTCTACACATTTTAAGCAAGAGAAGGAGATGGAAATGAGAGTTATTGGTGGATTTTAAACATGCCCGCAAAGTAACACTTTCTGCCTATTTGATTTATAAAAGACCCCTCTGCCAAGGTCAGCTAAGGGAACCAAGGAAACGGATTTTTTTCTCTTTTGTGTGGCTGGGAAAAATAAATAGTTAAAACTGTTTTCTTTATTTGTATGTTGTAACCCTAGAGATTCTCCTGCCTCTATCAAAAGAAACATCTGCTGTCATCTGTGCTTTTACTGTTGCTGTTAAATATTTCTTTCATTTTTGCAAGGCAGCCCTCTGAGAAATTGAAAATCAGGGCATTACTTCCATGTGTGAAAGGGGAGGGGTGCGATGGCTCAGGGAGAGGTCGCTTGTGCTTTGCCACATCCTGCTAGAAATGTCTATATCTTGGTTGTCCAGTGATTGTGGTCCAGTGTTCAGTCAGCCAGAAGGTTTCAGCTGGATCTTCTAAATACAAAGGCAGGCTGGGCACGGTGGCTCACGCTTGTAATCCCAACACTTTGGGAAGCCAAGATGGGTGGATCACTTGAGGCCAGGAGTTCGAGACCAGCTTGGCCAACATGATGAAACCCCGTCTCTACTAAAAATACAAAAATTAGCTGAGTGTAGTGGTGTGCACCTGTAGTTACAGCTACTCGGGAGGCTGAGACACGAGAATTGCTTAAACCCAGGAGATGTATGTTGCAGTGCGCCCAGATTGCACCACTGCACTCCAGCCTGGGCGACAGAGTAAGACTCTGTCTCAAAAAAAAAAAAATACAAAGGCAGTCTCAAGGTCTTTTTAGCATGCCTGCCTTCTCCCTAGGAAAGATGCCCGAGCTCCGTGCATTCTACCAGGGTGTGGCAGGGAGACTGTTTAATGCCTGCAAGCTACACCTGCATAGAAGGTGTAATGAGTCTGAGCTGTGGTTTACACTCTGGCTCTGAGGCTGTGATTCTTTATTCACATCCTTGTCTTTCTAGATTTTCTAGATCTCAATTTCTTCTCCCCTTTTTCTGCCAAACAATAGTCTCCATCCTCTCAGTAGAGAGCCACACAGAGCAACAAGAAAGTGTCTCAGGCCATCTGAGCCTCGTCCAGATGGATGGGTGTGAATTAGAACAAATTGTCCTTCACTCCCAGGGTCCCATGGGAAACAGCATCTCTGTTCACAACAGAGTGTAATTCTGAGCTACCTCCCTGGGAGTGGGCTCTTTGCCTCCAGCCCTGACGCATCCCGCCTGGTGCCCAGCTGTTCTAACTCAACTCCATTCGCTTTTCTCTCTCTTCTGTTTGTTCTTTTGACATACTAGCTCCGGCTCCCACCTTGTCTTTGTCCCATCATTGAGAGATGTGCACCATGAGCCTGTGTACCCCCAGCCACCTTTCAGCTACTCCGATCTGTCTCGAGAGGACAAAAAGGTAGCAGTACCCACTCCTTGACCAGCAGGCCGCCGGAATCCAGCATGCCTTCGCCACCAGCCCTGGCCCTGAAGGGGAGGGTGGAGAGGCCTCTTTAAGGCACGCCTACAGCCTGAATCTTACACTCCTTTTTTTAAACAGGATAATGTGTTTATAAGTTTGCAGTATGTTGGTTTGGTCCCCCTTTCCATGATCCCCCCAGCCCTCAGACAACCCCCACTTTCATGGGAAGATGTTTCTAGCTTTGGTATACAAATGTTTGTTTCAACCGGTTCTCATTTTAGCAAGTACACTTTGTGTCGGAGCCCTGCAGCCTCTCCATAAACGGAGTGATCTTCGGCTTGACGTCCACAGATCTGCTGTTCCACCTGGGGGCCGAGGAGATCAGTAGGTCAGAGGCATGTTCCAGACCCCCAAGCAGGACGACTGGCTCTCTGGTCCCAGCCCTTTCTGCAGCCAAGAAAATCAAGGGGCTTCTTGACCAGAGAGTCCTGAAGTCAGCAAGTTGTGTCAGACTCTGGCCATCTGAGTTTCTCTCTACCCAAGGGGAGGGGTTGGATGCATTAGTTTCTGTTACCACCTCTTTAAACTGCATTTGAGTCCCCAAAGAGCCATGTCCATTCTGTCTTTGCACTTAAAGGCATCGAAATTCATCTATATTTTCTTTTCTGCTCCCCTTTTATTTATTTCCCAAATTTGTGACCTTCTCTGAAGGGTCTTCTTCGTTTCCAGTACAATATCCAGCTCTGCAGAGAATTTGTTGAGTAAGTTAGGCAGCTCCAATCTGCCATCATCCTTGATGGGAAGGGGCATGTGAAGAGAATCGCGTGTTTAGCGAGATGGGTGTGGCTCCTTGTCTGAGGTTTGAGATTTGGGTCAGCCTGGCTACACGCCTGCCTCATGGTGGTGCAACTTTGCATCCTTTTGCCCAGTATGGTGCTGGCTAATGGCCTTCCTCGATCTTGATTATGAGGGATTCCTGTGCTTTCATTTCTCAATCCACTGTTCTGTGTCCCTTCTCATGTGGGAACAGACCCAGCTCCTTGTGGGTGGGTCCTTAATCTTCCCCAGAGGCAGCCTCTTGTCACTGGGCCTTGGCCATTTAGCTTCTCTCTGGTTTATTAAATTCTCCCGTCCTCCCTGAAGAGAATGGGCTGAAAAACAGGGTTCTGTGTTCACACTTTCCTTTCTTTCCCAGTTCTTCTGGAACTTCAGACAGATTCAGCCGAATTCTCAAGCACATCCTGACCCAGAGGAGGTGAGCTTGCCACTGGGACCCCCGACTGTGGACAGTGCCTTGGGGTCATGGCACTATGACAGGCATGATTGTAAGGGCCTTCACTTTACTCTGTGATGACAAGCCTGCATTCTGCCCCCTACCCCACCACACACACACACGCACGCACGCACGCACGCACACACACACACACACACACACACACACACACACAGAAAAAGTCGGCCTGTGGATACCAGCAGTGCAGAAGCCAGTACCTAGGGGAACTCTGTCTGAGAAGGGGGCCCCTTGGTCAACTGTTGCTGACCATTTTTCTCTGTCTTTGTAGCTACTACCCACTCTATCCGCCCCAAGAAGACATGGCCATTGACTACGAGACATTCTATGTCTACGCACAGCTGCCTGTCACCCCAGATATCTTCATCATCCCGTCAGAGCTGAGGTACTTTGTGAAGGTAGGTTTGAACTCTGCTTTTTCCCAGAAACACAGAACCCAGCCTTTGAGTTTCCCTTCAGACGACCTGGCACTCACCCCTCATGGGTCTGCTGATGGGGATGGGCCTCTAGCAACCTGCCCTGGGGCCTTGTTTCTTTGGGGAAGGTGGTGGGACCAGAAAACAAACAACTCTGTCGGTAAAACACTTTAGTAAACCTGAGAACTGGGAGTGTCCCCTGCTTCCTCCTCCCTCCCCAAGAGAACAGGAGCCCAGTTGACTAGGAAGGCCCTCAAATGAGGGCTTTCACCAGGCCACCTCAAGGTGACCTGGGGAAGGTTTCGTATATACACTTGCCTGTCCTCTGCCCCCAGATTCTGATATGACCTCCAGGTCGGCTCAGCTGGGAATACCTTGAAGAAGCTATCGGCTCATTCTGATCTCTGCCACCCTTAAACCCTGCCTGCCTTGGATTTAGGTCTCATACAGGCAATCCCAGACCAGTCTCCCTCTTGCCAAACGAGAGCCAGTTCAACCTCAAGAGGTTTAAAAAAAAAGTTTTTCACATGGGAAAGCAATAAACAGCTAGATCAGGTTTGTCTCCAAGTTTGGGAGCTGATTGTCATTCTGCCAAGTCACCTCATTCTTCCGTTTGAAAGACTTAAAAGGAATTCAGAGTTTTCTAGCAACAAGTTAACATGTGACTGAGGCCAGGCGCAGTGGTTCACACCTGTAATCCCAGCACTTTGGGAGGCTGAGGCTGGTGAATCACGTGAGGTCAGGAGTTCAAGACCAGCCTGGCCAATATGGTGAAACCTCATCTCTACTAAAAATCCAAAAATTATTCCTGGCTATGAACTTCCAGCTATGAGCTTCTTAAATTATTATTAAAAATAATAATAAATAGCCGGGCGCGGTGGCTCAAGCCTGTAATCCCAGCACTTTGGGAGGCCGAGGCGGGTGGATCACGAGGTCAAGAGATCGAGACCATCCTGGTCAACATGGTGAAACCCCGTCTCTACTAAAAATACAAAAAAATTAGCTGGGCATGGTGGCGCGTGCCTGTAGTCCCAGCTACTCAGGAGGCTGAGGCAGGAGAATTGCCTGAACCCAGGAGGCGGAGGTTGCGGTGAGCCGAGATCGCGCCATTGCACTCCAGCCTGGGTAACAAGAGCGAAACTCCGTCTCAAAAAAAAAAAAATAATAATAATAATAATAATATATATATTTTTTAGTTTGTCTTCAGAGG